TTTTTGTACGTAATAAAATTATTTAAAAAAAAAAAAGAAGAGGAATCGAAAAGAATAAAATTTTAAAAGCATATTATATGTATATAAAGAAAACCGGAAACGAAAATACTTGATGCGATTAAATTAAGTTTTTGTTTTGTTTGTTGCCGTGGTTTTTGTTGTTGTTGTTAAATGGTATTTAAATACGTTACATGTTTAAATTAAATTAAATGCGATTTATTTATTTTTTTTTTTTGAAATTGTTTTAATAATAATAATAATAATTTTATTATTTCATGTATGATTTTAAGTATGATAAGAATTAAAAATTTGTTCAGAAGCGTTGGAAATTCTAGAAAAATTCTTTTGTTTGATTTCAGGTACCTACGACGATATGATACCTCTACGGGGGGCAAAAATTTATACAAAAATTTTTTTCTTCTTTTTCTTTCCACCCGGAAAAAAAAAAAAAATTTTACGACGAAAATAATTTCGGGGGAAAATTACAAATTCGAACTTACGTATAAAACCGCACGATTTCAACCGCAAAATGCCTTTATTATTATTATTATTATTATTATTATTATTATTCGAGTGGTAAATAATTAAAAAAAAGAAGATTAAAAAATCAAAATGAATCGAAACATTTTTTTTTTTCGGGAGGGGAGAGAAGGATGGAGGAAGATGCAGAGGAGGGAAGAAGGAAAATTACACTTACTTTTAAAATACTTTTTTTTTTATGTTTTGCCCCCTCCCCCCCGCCGTCGTATTTGATCTTATTAATTTAATTAGAGGCTTTTATGTTATATTTTTTTTGACCCCTTGACCTTTCGCGCCTTTTTTTTTTAACATTTCAGCCCAAAGTTTTTTCTCCCACTTAAATTATTTATTTATTACGAAAAAAAAAATTTTAATAAAATAATAATAAATAATTAAATAATAGGGTTATTAAATCCCACTCGGTAAATTATAATTATCATTATTATCATTATTATTATTAATAATGACAAAAAATTTTTTTTTTTTTTAAACTACGCAGATGCTACAAAAAAAAAAAAGAAAAAAAAATTTTTTTAAATTATTACAAATTCCCGCGTTTTTTTTTTGTATCGATTTAATTTAAAAAACAACCGTTTCCGGTTAGTTTTGTTTAATTTCATCACCTCTGGTTAAAATTTAAATAATAATAATAATAATAATTATAAAATGAAAAAATTTAATGAATAATTATAAAAGTTATTTTTTTCGGGGGAGAGAGGGGGAAGGGAGGAGGGGAGGGGAGAGGGAAAAACAATATTTTACGTAAAACGTCAAAAAATATTTAATATCGCAGTGAGGTTGATAACAAAGTTAAACATTATACGTAGGTATAATAAATAAATTTAATGATAAATTCTTTCTAGAACCTTTTCGAAAGTTTTATTTAATTCTTTCTAACCTTTTCCCTTATTTATTTATTTATTTTTTTTTAATTTTTAACGTTAATAAATTTATTTTTATTTATATATGAATATAAAATAATAATAATAATAATAATAATAATAATAATAATAATAATAATAATAATAATAATACTGATAAT